CCATTTCTGCATTTGGCACTTCACCATTCAGTGTCTTCTGTACAAAGCAAAGAGAAAAGAAATTCTCTAACAGAACTTAGGGCAAGGAAATTCCAGAATTTGGTGCCAAGAAAAATTCCCATGTGAAACTTGAAATTTTCATCATTTCTGACATCCAAAGCTATGTAATATATCACGTTTCCCCTTTTGCCCAGACTCCAAGGAAGTTCAAAACCAACAGGGTAATGAAACTCATGGAATATAAGCTCAAGAAACTAAATTCTCCTTTTTATATAAGTCTTATCACCAGCATAATAATTTTGGATTTTCCTATTCATGGATATTTCTAATGGAATCCTCCAAAAGGCTAGGATGCATTATTTGAACACATGCTTATTTTTTTAGACAATGAAATTATCCAAAAAAAATGGAAAGAGAGGCATTGGAAGAGTATAAACTGACATTCCAATGGAATCCAATTTTCATAAAGCCTAATATAATACTGACTTCAACAAAATTCAGTGTTAAACTGAAAGAAATCTTTCTGAAAGGTATCAATTTCAATTTCACGTGTGCTCCTAAATTATTTTCCACATTTGGGAAATGTGGGATTTGTGACCAGTCTAAAACCATAAAAGTTTAATGCTAATATGTAGGAAAATTAATTCTCTCATGTTATTCCAATCATACAGTGAAGGCAAAAGGGGAATAATTTAAAATGCATTTAATCATTTGTGTCTCTGATAACATGCAATTTCCAATTCGCATGAGTCACCATTTTTATTTGAGACAATTCCCACTACAAATTATAAATCATGTTCTTAACTAGCCACAAAATTGTAATATTTATGTCTCATAAAAAAATAAAATTTATAACCAATGAACTGGATTAAATCACGTGCTCACAGACTCATTTACTCCTCCTCACAAATGCTTTAAACTGGCGACGTTGTGTTGTCCTTTTGGAGTCTAATAGGAAGAGAATTTAAATAATAAAATACACGAGGGAAGACTAACGAGTCATTAAAATGAAAAGGGTAGCAGGATTCTATTTAATATTTTTATTTGGCATTTCAAAAGAGAATTACAAACAAGAAATTGCTCACTTGATCTCACAAAATGTTTCCTATTATTTTGTAAACCATTCCAATTTCTGTAACTAAAATTTCTGTGCTTATAATTAACAACGCCACTCCTCTCAACATACATACACCATCATCACCATCACCACCACTACTACAAGCTTGCATCTACAAATTGTTAAAGGTTTAAATATGGCCTTTAAAAAAATCAATTATGTACAAATGTTAGTTATTTGGGAACAAGGGGTGGAAACATTTATCACATTCCAAGCCAAAAAGAACACTGTTACGCTTGCATTAAATTTTGGATTCTTTTCCATAATTTGCACAGCTGTCAGTTCCAGAGCATGCTGCTGTAGATTCTTTGGTGCAAGTGGACATAAGTGGGAGCTGGAGGGAAGACAACTTAAGTCTGACAGGAGGGAGTCAGAGAGCGTAACAGAGGAAATAATGCTTGAAGTTGGATGTGAAGGAAAAAGAGAAATGAGCCAAGTTAATAAGAAGGGGACGAGCATGATGGGCATAGGAGAGCACATATGGAAAGGCACAGAGGCATGAGAGAACATGGCAGGTTTGAAAAGCGGCAAATAATTCTGCACAGTGTGGAATGTCAAGAGAGCAGGTTAAAAGTCAGGCAGGAGTAGATCATAACAAGCTTTGGATAGCAATCACAGGAGTTTAGGTTTTATTCTGTAGGAGCTATTCAGCCATGTAGAAAAATTATTCCAGTAGCAAAATCCAGAATGAACCGGAGGAGGAGAGAATTATTAGGAGCAAATAATTAAAAGCCTGTGAATGAAGGAAGCAACAATGGCCCTGAAGGGAGATAGAAGGAGAAGGCCAGTTTGGAATTCATTAGAAAATTCAATCAGGAGTCTGGTTATCTTATCCAGTTATCGCCAAGATTTGCAGACAGTTTTCATTCCTTGTCTAATACCCCATATAATTTCATAGATTTTTTAATAAGAAAAAAAGAAGGAAATTGCCAAATAGTAGTGATACAGCTGACTACATTATAGAACCTTTCCTACTGTAAGCAAATATAAATGGGACACGCTTTTGCATTACTTTAAAATAATTTGTAGTCAATAAACCACCTGAAATCTAGAGAGACTTTTCAGGGCTGAATTATTTATACCAACAGGAGAATTAAAAAGTAAGCCATGGCTGGAATGTGATTTTAGTATAAGAGATAAGAGGTTACAACAGAATAACTTAACAAAATGAAGCAATTACAAAACCAAATGATCTGCCCTTATTATTAATACCATTGCCTTGACCATACGATTCTCAATCAGTATTTAATATAGGCAGATAACTTTTCTCCAAACTCCTTAGCTTTCTACATAGAGCCAATTTACTGAATGGATTACAAACACATCCAGCCATTGCTCATAAAGGATATCTACAGTTTTGTTTGCCCAGCCATTTTGCTGCTCCACCCATTTCGGAAACTGACCCTCTCCCATTCTACCTCCTCCCCCAACCTCTTCTATCCCTATGATTACTATGCACATTACCATGCTGGTTCAATAGGTCTGGTGGGTGGCCCAACTAACACCCAGTTCCTAGATATCCTCGGTGTCAATGACCTGTCTCGCTACTTTACATTAGCACACAGTCTCTAAAGAACACACCCTAGTTGCAAATCACCACTAAAGAATGGCTGTACTTCTGTTACATGTCATCTAACCACACCCATCAATCCTTTCCCTTTTCTTACTCCCATTTCACCCATAAGGTTTCATCTAAATCTTCAGGCTTTTGCCCACTCTTCTCAGACCATCGCCTTCCTCACCTCCTTCCCTTGTCCAGCCAGAACCCCCTGTTAATCAAATCAATAACCCTTTCATTAGAATATTCCTTTATTTTCCACCCTTTGTTTCCAATACAGCAAGCTTGAGCATTCCCCACCCAGATGAATCACTCTCAAATTCTGTTCCAGGTGACTGAGCTCTCATAAAGAAAACTGCTCAATGATTCAAATCGGTGGCATTCAACTTTATAGTGGCTAACTAACCTCAACAGCCCTCAGAGATAATCAGTAACCCCCTCATTTGTCCCTAGTCAGTTCGCATCTATACTCCCTAGAGTAGCTGTTCCAAACCTCAACCATTTTCTTAAATCCCTTGCATCATCCAATCCCTCCATCTTTATCTTTAGCTCTTCCTTCCACATAGTGAAACAGAGATCACCAGGTGGGAGCACAGTCACTCTCTACTCCTCTACCTCACAAGTGCCTATCAGAGTACCGCCCTTTTTTTTACTCAGGACTATTTCTAAGGAACCAGGGTTTCTCCTCCTGTCCTCTCTAAGACCACCATTTCTACCTGTGTCCTAAGTCACAGACCAAAGAAACCTTCAGAGATGCTGTCTTTCTTCTATATCTTTATCTGCACTTCAATCTAGCTCCTTCCCCGACAATGACAAGCAGATCAATTAATCTTACCCCTCAAGTAAAACCACCACCGCCAACAACAACAAAATCTTCCGTTGGTCCTTCTCCCATTTTTAGCTATTTCCCATTTCCTTCTTCCATTTCATCAACAAACCTCTTGAAACCATGCACATATATAATAAATACAAAATCTGTACATTTTATCAACTTATGTAATAGAAATGGATGGCAATAGTTTGAGGAGTAAATAAAAATTGGGAAGAATACATATGTAATATTATGTCTACATGTATATATATTTTTTATTTGTTTATTCCTTAAACCATTGTCATGTTTCTAACTAAACTTCTAAAGTGAAAATACCCACACTAAATCAAACATGATCTTATTATTGTTAAATGCAAAGTTCTATTACTAAGTTCTCTTCCTAATTGACCCAGCACTATTTAAATCTTCCTTTTTCCCTATAGCACTTATCACCTCTTTGCATATTATACATTTATCTGATAAGTGTCTTTCTCTCTCCTGTAGGATTTAAGTTTTTATGAGGGCAGAGACTCTGCCCTTTTGATTCAATTTCTAAAATAATGTCTGACATGTAATAAGTGATCAATGAGTATTTGTTTAAAAAATATCACCCACCAACTGGCCCAAATAGATCAGAGCAGAGGTGGGAATCACACCCAAACTGGGTCAACTTCAGGCTCTTTACTGAGAGTTTAAACTTGGGAGCAAGAGAGTCAAGCCAGTCTCTGTGAGAGGATGTAAACTGATCTTCAGTGTGAATGGAGAATGAAGCAGATATGATAGAGAAGTTAAGACACAGAACATCCTTATGGAATTCAAGCCCCTGGTTTCATTTATCCTAATTATCAAAATAAAATCTAACGTTGGTCTCTGTGAAATATCTCAATATTGTTATAATAAGTTACATTTTTAACTTAAACTAATTTAGCTCTTTTCCTATCGCATACTACCAAGAGATTTCTTACTAATATACTGTTCTGTGGTTGAACAGCCTCAAAATAAACATCCTAAAGCCAACGTTCAAAAAGAAAAAGGAAAGAAAGAAATGAGGGTAAAAAGGTGGAGTTCCCATTCTAATTCCCTGAATGAACAATATGTATAAATATATGGGCAATGGTTAACTTACTTTAACAAAAATGTGGTATGATATGGAGGCATTCTCTTTACGACTTACAAACTCTTTATGATACCATACTTAGGTACCATCTATGGGAAAAGAGCTATTTTCCTGTCTTCTCTAAATAAGACTACACCCACATTCATTTTAACTCTAAAGCCATTTTTTGAAATGAATTTTGGTACTAATTTTATCTCATGCTCATTTTCCTTAGGCCATAGAAAAGTAGACCATTAAACAGAGAATAGCTGAAGAACCTAGCTACAACAGTGCATAGCAAATTAAGGCTGCAGGGGAAACTGAAATACAACCTAAATTGGCACTTAGAAATAACAAAGCTCTATCTTGGAAAATAGAAGTTAAATAATTATCAACATTACATTTCACGGGTACTTACCAAACAAACGCTGATGGAACAGAAATTTCCCAGCTATTAGTCCTATGAGAATGGCAAGTAGCCATAGAAGCACCTTCAGAAGCCTCCAGCCAACTCCTCTAGGGTATTTATTTGTTACAAATGAAAAACAGTTTCCAACAACAATGACGTTGGCTTCTGTTTGGCTATGAGAAACTGGGTCCTCCGCAAATATTAAGAAGTTAAAGAAGATCACCAAGTAAGCCACGATCATGCGAGACCAGGGATGCTGGAAATAATAGCGAAAGTCTTTACCCATCCTTCAAAACTTCAGTTCCGTAGTTTACCTGTATAAGAAAAGATACACAGAGTTAGAGCAGAAAACAAATAGTCTCTCTCTTCCTGTTATCTGTTCAGATTTCTAATGGCTCCATAAAAGGTATTTGAAAAAGATGACACCTGTTCCTGCAAGACAAGTCTGAGATTGAGGAAAGTAAATATTGTCCCTTGCCTGTCATCTAATCATATCTCTGATCCCATGTGGATTTAGGAAAGAAAAAGAATAAAAGAGTAGAGGGAGAGGAAGGTACTTTAGGGGGCAATACACCGTCCAAAATTGGGATGATGACCAAGGTGACATGCAGCTGTGATCTTACAGGGAAACGCAGAGGAAAAAAACAATGCAGTACTTCTCCTCTTTCAAATTATGTTACAGTCATAATACTGAGTCATTAAAGATTAAAGCACTGTAGAAGTAAACTGAGCACATATGAACAAAAGCTAAACATCATCCTCTGCCCAAATCCCTCTCCTTAGAGTTAAGATCCCTTAATAATTGGGTGGATATACTTTCAGATATTTTTCTACACATTGACAAATGTGCATATATGTATGGGGTTTTATAAAAATGTTCACAGGGGCTGGCCTGGTGGCATAGTGGTTAAGTTCACGTGCTCTACTTTGGCAGCCTGGGGTTCACAGGTTCGGATCCCAGGAGCAGACCTACCCACTGCTCATCAAGCCATGCTGTGGCAGCATCCCACATACAAAGTAGAGGAAGACTAGCACAGATGTTAACTCAGGGACTTCCTCATAAAAAAAAAGAAAGGTCTCAGTCTAGTTGTCAAGTAATTTCAACACAGAATAAGTTTAGTGAAATAGCTTAGTCTGTGGTAGAGTAGTTGTATGCAGGGGGGTTTGGGCAACTGTGCTTGTCAGAAGTGAGGAGAAAGGGGAAGATTTCAAAGAGGAGGACATACTCCAAATCGAGGTTGGAGGATTAGTAGGATTTTTTTCCCCAGTGAAGAAGACAAGGATGCTCAATCTATGCACACGCCATGGCACAGAGTCATGGAAAATATGTACTATGCCTACAGCAGTGGGTCCTAACCTGGATGTGCGTTGGAAGCACTGCAGCTTTCTTAAAATGCTGATGTCCAGGCCCCACCTCCAAAGTCTTCCTCAGCTCCTGCCTCTTTCCTCTTTGGGAGCGAGCCCTCCCATAAAGAACTCAAGCCTGCCTAGGTCCACCAGGGCTGTGACTGGGTGATTAAGTCTAATTCTGGGGTTCAGTTTTGGTGAGCACATTTGGTGCTCAGACTAAGCTATACCTTTTTGTTTTTCCAGCAATAAAGCTGATTAAATCTGGGATTAAAAGAGAATAATAAAGGCAGTCATTTCACTGCAATCTGCCAATTCTTCTTTCTTTTCTCAATTTACACAGAACTGAAAGAGAAAAGAGGGACCCTTACAAAGTCTACAGCTCTGACTTGCCAGGCTCTGTGCTGTATGTCTGCATGCATCATTATTTCATTTTCATAGCAATTCTCTGAAATACCATTATTATCATTCCCATCACTTCACTTACAGAGAGGGAACCGAGGTCCACACAGATATGTAACTTGCCCAAAGTCACCCAGCAAGAGAGCTCTGATCTGAGCCTCCGAAGTCTGACCGGAGGGCCTGATCACCATCTCTGCACACAGTCAGATCAGTTCCAGGCGTTTTCCCTACCAATGCGGGCAGACCCAGTCCCCAGCCCCAGGGATGTCATCCCTTGAAAGCCTTCTGGAGACACACTCTTCTCTAGAGACAATTATATTAAGTCTGTAATGTATACAGTCATGAGTTGCCTAACAACATTTTGGTCAAGGACAGATCGCACACACAATGGTGGTCCCATAAGATTAGTACCGTATAGCCTAGATGTAGTAGGCTATATCATCTAGCTTTATGAAAGTACTGTAGGGGAGGAAGAAATTTTCCTCTACCCTTCTAGGTTCTTCTGGCTGGTCTAAGAATTAAATTGACATAAGACAGATTAACAGGAGAAAAACAAACAAAAGTTTAATAACATGTATATATGGGAGAAACCCAGGAAAACCAAGTAACCCACCAAAATGGTCAAAGCACTCACTTTAAATACCATCCTCAGCTAAAGACAAAAGAAGATGTTAGGGGTGGGGAAAGTCAGGGACTTCAAAGGGAAGGAAGGCAATTTACAGGTGGGTGAAAAGGAGAAAATGTTTGGAAAACAAGTGTTTGGCCACACAGAAACAGAAGAACACAGAGTGGAGCCCAACAGACTTTTCTAGGTTCCTCCCTGTCTATCGCCCAGTTCACGTTATGCTAAGGTGATAGCCAGCTTCCTGAGACAAGCTTTTTTATGTAAATTCTTCTAGGCAGTTAAGAAGGAGGTAATAAGAAAAACTTTGAGCCTTTCATTTCTTAAAAGAATTAACCTAAAATGAGCCTTATGTTAAAGAGACACATTTTGGGGTGATAAATTTTGTTCCCCTTCAGTACACTCCATGATGTTCATACAACAACAAAATTGCCTAATGATGCATTTCTTAGAACATATCCCCATCATTACATAACTATGTAATTACACATTACACATGACTACACTTCTATAGCCCACGAAAATATATATATGTGAAACAATCTTTCACAAATCCTGAGCACTCTGGGAAAGGAGTATCCATTGGTAAATATTCTCATTTTACATACGGCCAAAAGTACAAAGATCCACGAGCATAAAGTAACTCTAAGTCAATGGAAAATCTGAGAATAGGCTCCAAGGTCCCCAAGTTCCAGTCCAACATTCTGGGGTGATGAATGTCAACCATCTAAGTTACTGAAGACTTGTCTTAACTATGTTAGAAAAGCACATGAAAGGACTGTAAACACATGAAAGGATTGGCAATAAAATTCAGCAAAACAAATAGTCACTGTGCCTTGGATTCATAAATCTTCTACACAAATTCAAGTCCCTTGTGATCTTCGTGAATACTCTGAAATATCTGTTCTCAGGGATTGCAGCTCAGATTGCCTAGGAATGGTGGCTATCCAAAGATTGTTTTGTTTTTTTTTTAACGTTTGGTTCATCACCCAGTCCAGCAGCAGAGACCTGTGTGGTTCTCACACCAAAGAAAGCAGACAAAGCACTGAGAATATAAACAAACATCATGCAGTTTTGGGATATTCAATATGCAAGGATGCCAGAATGCGTCAGTTAACTGAATTTCATACAACATCTCTGGAAATGTTCAAAGACCACCACCACAAGAGAATGCACAGAAATCAACTCAAGGCCAATGAGTCTTTGAAGTAGGAATAGCTCCTACATGCCCATCAGAACTGGACAGGGGTATCATTTCAGAAGTTGCTATAACAGGTTTTTATGGTGCTTCTCTTATTGGTGAGGAATTCTGGTGTAGTCACCCCACCACCGTCCCTCCCCCTCCCCACGCACAATCAAGGCAGCAGGATTTAGAACACTGAATACATATGACCTTGATTTTTGTTTTTAAAAATGCTTTTTTAAAAACATCTTGGAGACAGCTGTTCCTCTCCAGTATTTCTATCATTTCAAGAGAGACAACAACAGTATTGAGCAACAATCCTGCACTCGTACAGATGGTAATTCCCACAGTAAGCTATGAACGCTACTATCCCTCCCATGTTACAGGTAAAAAACAACAAGGGCTCAGAGCAGTTGCCACCTGTTTAATTCACATATCCAGAACGTGGAAGAGCCAGCACTTCAATCCAAATCCATTCCTAGCCCTTGATCTCTGGAACATACCACAAAGCTGGAAGTGTTTCTCCCAATAAAATCATTTCCCATCACATTTACAGCATACTCTTTATTTCCATTAAGAGACTTAGCTACTTAGATACTAGCTGAATGAACAGGACTCCATTATTGACCATCATTTGGTCTTTTTATTTTATGCTAAACATGGCTGACATTTATTCCTGCCTCATACTCCAAAGCTGAACTGATGTCTTCTAGGGGGTGCCAAATTTCAAAACCTACATAATAACTTGAATAAAACCTCTGCTTATTTCCACTTCCTGACTTCACACACAAGGTTACCAAAAGTTTGCCTAGTCATCTTGGCCTTATTTTCTAGTACCTTAGGCACCTGATATCCATGGCAGCAAAATTGTTTTCACCTCTGTAGTTCACATAAAGCATCTTTATGATCAATATGACCATTTGTTGATTCTAACATCAGTAATCCGGGATTGAAGTTGGGTAGGCTACACAGTGTACATAGTCTGAAAAACCTTTTAATTTTTTAAAATTCAATTCTGAAACCACTGACGAGCTTTACCTTAAATAAATTTGCTTTTATCTAAGCTCTCAGCATATCATGGTGAAATAATCTGTTTATGCGTTTGTCTCCCTCAGTAGATCATAAGGTCCTCAGGGAAGGGCCTATTTGCTTCCAGGGCACAGCACAGGGCCAGGCTCACAGTGGGCAATTAAACACTTACTGGACGAGCTGAGTGGTACACTATGAAAGAGAAGCCCCCTCATTGTTTACGTGAGATGAGAAGGCAAAGCAACCTGCCATGAGCTTCCACGAAGAGAAGAGAACAGCACAGCAGAGCAGATGAATCCAAAGACTGCAACGATGACTCGGCCAGTACCAGCAGAGATGCACCTCCACTCAACAGCATCTCATTGCAGCACCAGGTTCTGAGTTATTACCATTATTAGTAAGACTAACCTTTATTGAGTACTAACCATATACTAGTCACTATGCTAATGAGCTTTACAAATATTTCATTTAAATTTCACAGCAGCCCCATGAAAAAAACACTCTTATTTTACCCATTTTACAAATGTTGAAACTGAGACTTAGAGTGTAGTAACTTGCACCAAATAACGAAATGAGTCTATGCCAGAGCCAGGATTCAAATCCAAGCTACCCAGCTTCAACACTCTATGCTATGCCTTCCCCTCACAAAGACACAAATTTCAAAATCTTGCCCTTTACATGTTGGTTAGAAAATTCCTGATACAGCCTTCTGATAGAAAAGATTCACAGTA